ATAGTGTACTGATCTTGCATTTGCATATTTTGTTTCTTAACTTGGTTAAATTTGTAAACTTTGTTAATGTGGTTGTTTGTCTTGAGTTAGGGAAGTGACAGAAAGCCGAGATTTTATTTAATGATTTGAACTTTAGTAGTTTTAATTGGAAAATGATTGCTTGTTAAAGATCAAAATAGTTAAATTTGTACACTTAATTAATGGGGTTGCTTCTCTTGCGTAAGAGAAGTGGCAGAAAGCCGAGATTTTCCTGAAATATTTGAAGTTTAGTAATTCTAAGAGAAAAGTGATTGCTTGTCACAGATCATTAGTTAAATGTGCAATAATAGCCATAGACGTGGGAACCGAGTTGGTGCATTTGCCAACAGTGTTTGTCAGTGGTAAAGAAAGTTTGGAATTTGAACCTCATAATTTGAGCTATAGTAGGATTGTAGGAATGTTCTTCTAGAGATAGATAAACACCTGTCCCTAGGATGATGCTCATAGTAAGCTCTGTGAGCTAAAGTCTAATCAACCCAAAAGTTAAGGTGAGTTGGCTTATGATTTTGAGCCCACAAGTGGACCAACCATACTTAACTATAAACTCCGCTACTAACTGATGCAACCACTTTCATATCCAAAAAGAAGTTTCTAAATTTGAGTCCACAAGTGGACCAACCATACTTAACTATAAACTCCGCTACTAACTGATGCAACCACTTTCATATCCAAAAAGAAGTTTCTAAATTTGAGTCCACAAGTGGACCAACCATACTTAACTATAAACTCCGCTACTAGCTGATGCAACCACTTTCATATCCAAAAAGAAGTTTCTAAATTTGGAAGTAGTTTTGAAGTTGATTGTTGAAACACAGTGGCTAAAGTCGACCACGGAGCTCCAAGCTCCATGATTTTCATTTTCTCCCGACTATGCACCCCACCGACTATACCAACCTTTTACAACCATCTTTCTTTGCTCCTTTCTCTCTTTGGTGTGCATCCATAGCGGAGCTCATCTCCAGAGCTTTGAGCTCCATTTTTCTTCTATCTTAAACAGATTCACCCCATACAAATCTCATCCCAATATCTGAACCTCTTAGCTCACTGAAAGCACCTTTACCTATAATGTTGAGAACCTTGCAAATTCTAATTTCCTTCTACCATGTCTAACTTTAACGTTGCATAAACTACGATGAATTGGTACTGGTATGAGGAACTATGACTTGAGAAATATGATACAAGGGGCTGCGATATGAGAGGAATGGTATGAGGAGGAATGACATGAAAGGTATGATTTGAGGAGCTATAAAATAGAGGTATTACATAACACCAATGACAAAGAGGTATAGTAGGAAGCTAATACTAAAAGCTAAAATATGGACACAACAACAAGGAAGCTAAGGTATGGGACCTGCATACTAGACTGAGGAAGTGAAACACTAGAAGGGGAAGTGTCATACTTCAAAGGAATAATTAAGAGCTCATTCCCATGACCTCTAGGGGTTGTGTGAATGACCGAACTAGTGCCTTTTTTCTCACTCTTAAAAGGGTTTAGGATTGTGGGCGCCAACTTAACTCAGTGATGTAAATCTAAAGTTTTAGACCATATAAAAGACCTAGTCCACAAAACAAAGTATGCGTACAAATCAAGGGTTTGATGTTGCCTATCTTGGCCAACAAGCTACACTTGAATGGTTGACTTTGTATCTCTTGTAGAACATTTCTTTCACAGCCAAATCTCTCTACAACAGACTTCAAATGAAAGCATGCTCTCCGCTCACATGGTTAGCAATATGCTAAAGTCTTCTCAGAAAGCTCTCTATTTCACCCTTCTCTTACTAGAGCCTCTTTGGACTTGAGCAATGAAAATTAATCCATGAGGCCTCCTGCGGTGTCTTGCGAGTTACACACATTAGGTCCAAGGTCTATAGGATTGGAAGCAAGCTTTTGTAGCTAAGTTAGCAGGGTTTCAATCTCAAGTCCTTAGGTGCGAAGTCCAAGACATCTAATTTTGAGGTTCGAGTTTAGTGCTATTTTATGGGACTAGGAGTTTTGATGTATTAGATAATTGACAAAGAATTGAACTTAGTAGATATCTTTCGGAGTCCTTTCTTCAATAGTGGTGAGAAACTAAATGGTGGCTAAGGGGAAAAAGAATGCTGCTCTTTCCGAAGTCAATCTAAATAGAACACATGAGTGTGGTTTAAAAAAATTGGCTTCTTCTGTCACCACTACCGCAGTTCAACTACTAGAACTTGGTACAAAAATGTATTCTATGCTTTTGTACCATAAGAACTTATAGCGAGTTCCTTATCAAAAAGAACATATAGCGAGTTTAAACTGATAATTTCTTGTTCAAAAAGAAAAAGAAAATAAAAGGACTATTTTTCTCATCTCAACTAGAATGAGAGCTGGGGCATTCTCTAACTGCTACTGCTTTGGCTATTCTTCTCTGCTTCTAATTTCTAAACTCATTCATTTTGCTTCAAATGACATTTTCATGTTATTATCTTTCAAGACAAGTAGTCATCATCTGCTTGTTTTGGTTGCATATGTAGGTATTCTTGTGTTGACCTGATCGGCAGTTGCAGCAAGAACAAGCGTTTCTGTTAACTGTTTGAAAAACCTATATTCCGCTTTATGTCTTTTCTTAAACATAATTTCTTCCATGTAGGAGCGGCGGTACTTGCTTAAGGAATTCCCTGAGCTAGCCTGTTGCGGGGAATGCTCGACAGTTTTGGAGGTTGGATGTGGAAATGGTAGTACAGCTCTGCCAATATTACGGTGAGGAAGAATTTTACTTGCTTTGAGTGACTTATTTGTTTAAGCATTTTTTGGCTGAGGAAGTGGCAAAACTCTCTTTGTTTAAGGTGCATAATTATAAGCCACTAGTTCTATGATAGTTTCTTGTTCATTGATATTTTGATATCCCATAATTGATTATCTAGAGTGGAGCTATTCCTAAGTTGGCCATCTTATTCCTTTTTTAAACTTGGAAGTAGCCACAAAATTTAGGTCCAAACACGATGTATGAGGCATCCATTCTCAAATGGATGAGTATAGAGTAGAGTCTTCACTTCCTATTCAATCTCACCTAGAAACAACAGTGCTGACTAGAAATAAGTAACATGAAATCAGAGTTGTGTTCGTTTGGTGATGATTTATTTACTTTACCTTATTTAAGAGCAATGTTGAAGAATCTTTTTTCTTTCTCTAAATTAAGATTAGGTTTATTCAATTTCATCTTGCTTCATCTCTTCGCGATAGTAAGGCTTACCTACTTGTTCATTTGTTAGTATTGAATTTCAATGTTCTATGCGAAGATTGAGAATCACATTATCCTGATCTCATTGCTGAAACTTTGCTTATCTCTTGCAGTGGAAACAAGAGCATCTCTCTGTATGCCTGTGACTGCAGCAAAGAGGCTCTTGAGAGGGCTAAAGAGAATATTGAAGCTGCTAATATAATCTTGGCTAAAGAACGGTTTTATCCATTCCAATGTGATTTCTGTGAGTGGATTTCCAAACTGGTTAGTCTGCACTTCTTGCCGTGAAAGTTTCTCTCAGAAGCAGAATATGTGCTCCTTAGGTTAGCAAATGTACCTATTCTTCTGCATTTTATTAGATATGATCTATCATTCTCTGCTGGTACAGCAAAGAGGTGGGTTTTCAAATGAACGTGTTTTGCTCATGCAGATGCAAGAAGATGCAGTAAGCAAGATTTCCCTGATCCACCGATATCTGCCAAGAACGATAGCTGCATTGGGGGAGTAGATTTTGTTACCCTCGTATGTACATTCTTAATTATGTCTATGATTTGGGCTTTTTTTTTCAATTTCATTATTAAAAAAAGGCTCTTTTTTATTCACAACTGTATTGATTTCAACAAAAGTCAAATGTCTAAGTAGATGGTTATTTCATTTGTAATTTCCAGATATTTACGCTATCAGCAGTGCCACTTCACAGGATGTCAAGAGCAATCGCAGAATGCTGTTCTGTTCTAAAGCCCGGAGGCCTGTTGTTATTCAGGGATTACGGTAATAACCTGACCTGAATATTAGACATTACTTGCGGAACATTGGCAATGTATCTCTTGCTAATTTGTAAAATTTGTATGTTTTGAATGATGAGGTCTGTTTAGTTTTCTCCTAGTATCTGAATTCGGGAAGTGTGAAACTCAGGTCTTTATGATATGACCATGCTTCGGTTCGAGCCGGAACAAAGAGTAGGATACAGAGAGTACATGCGTTCTGATGGAACAAGGTCTTATTTCTTTTGCTTGGATAGTGTAAGAGATCTCTTCTGTGGCACAGGATTCACTGAGGTATTACTTCCCGTTGGCTACTTTGTGGAACTACAGACAGGAATTTTGGTTCCATTACCAATAAACTTTAACATATTTATGAACCTTTTTGCAGCTTGAGCTTGAGTATTGCTGTGTCCAGTCAGTGAATCGACGGAATGGGAAGATCATGCGAAGAGTGTGGATTCATGGGAAGTTCCAGAAGCCACATGTCTATGTAGGTTCATAACCCTGTGGTTTTAATGGGAAAAATGAACTTGCAAGCAGCCACATTAATGTTCCATGAGCTTAAGAAACTGAAAAAGAGATAAACATGGGTTGTTTTTGACTCTTAAATCGCGTCCTCCAACGAGCTAAATCAATGATGAGTAGAAGTAGAATACTTAAGTGTACAATGTCAGTGCCTGAGATTCCTTTGATGAATGAAAGTTTCAGTCCTTTCTAGCTATGCATGCAGAGAGGCACTTTCTCTCGTGAAACATATGAAGTGGTGCTGCGGTTGTAAGATGAGATATAGAAAAGGATGAGCAAAAGTTTAACAAGATGGTGATATTGTTTTTGTTGACTTCGGCTGTTTGTTATCTTAAGATTGGGGCTGTTTTAAGGCCAGGTTACACTATGGTGCAGTTTGGTTTGAGAAGCTTCCCAAGGGCGAACTATTGTTGTTCATGTCCTGGAGAATTTGATTGTGAAAAGTAAGTCAACATGAAGGCTGGAAGTAAAAGATGTGTTTTGTCAAATACATCACCTTATCATTATCAGACATTCAGGCCTGGGATATAGAGGATATTGACATGCTATTTTTATGGTATGAATATATCTGCCGAGCTCTTTTTTTTTGGCATTATGTCATGCCATCAATTCAACTGGTCGCGGTAAAAGTTTTGAGGATTCATATAGCTGATCCAACTAGTTTAAGGCGTAGTAATTTGTATGCCGTGTCATTATTCACTGCATAACAACTTTTTTAGAACTAATACATAACTTGCTAAGTTCTGGCTTTGCAGAACCATAATTGGTAAGTGAGAATGTGTAGCAAGCTCTTGTGAGCCATCTCATTTTTTCTGAAGAATCTTGTTCTTCATTTCTTCTATGAATTGGTTGAGATTCTTCTTTGAAGATCCCTCATCAGACAGTGCATTGTGAAGGACCATCTTTGTTCTCTCTATATTCTTCCTCAAATCATCTGATTTACTCATTATCCTTCCAATATTCTCCGCTACTTCCTCCCTCCTGATTAATCTTCCAGTGCAAAGATTCACACCAATCCTCCAATCATTGACCACTAATTTCCTATTAGTAAATTGATCTGTTAAAATAGGAACACACACCATTGGAACTTTACACCATATGCTTTCCAAGATTGAATTCCAACCACAATGAGTCAAAAACCCTCCAACTGCTGGATGTGATAGTACTGCTAGTTGAGAGCACCACGGCACAACCAGTCCTCTACCTACTGTTTCTTCCTCAAATCTACGAGGCAAAATGTTTCTTTCACCAGAACCTAGGATATTGTGACGTAGCACCCAAATGAAACTCACCTTACTTATTAAAATGCCCTGTGCTATTTCCAGAATATCCTGTTTACTCATATTAGCAAGACTACCAAATGAGATGTATAACACTGTACCATCTTGTTTGCTATTGAGCCAGTCGGTGTAATCTGACTCTGGCAGCAGGCCTGCTGAAATTGTTCTCTTGGTAAAGCTTGCTGGGAAGACCGGCCCAATTGCATAGAATGGCTGCTTCTCTTGTATGACTGAGATAGCCGAGGACTCTAGCTCTTGCACTGTGTTGCAGATGACAAAATCTGCTTTCTGCGCATCTTCAAGACACTTGAACACAAAACGGGGCATCACGGTGCTTGAATCAGGATCTTGACAATATGAAGGTAAATCTGCTGGTTCAATGGCTTGAACTCCTGGTATGTATCTAATTGTGTCTTCACACTTATCTGGACAAAATGATTACTTATTAGCTAATTGATAATGTAATATAGCCAAGGGTGTGGCGTAGTGGTCAATGAAGTGGGTTGAGAACCATGAGGTCTCAGGTTCAAATCCTGTAGAAACAAAAACACTAGATGATTTCTTCCTATCTGTCCAAGCCTTGGTGAACAGAGTTGCCTGATACATGATGTTGGTAGAAGGTAACAGGTATCCAATGGAATTAGTTGAGGTGAGCGTAAGCTGCCCGGACACCACGGTTATAAAAAATAAATTGATTATGTAATGTAGTCACTGATTAGACAGTACTAATAGCTTCAAGATATGGAGTTCTTACCATGACATCCGAAATGGCCTTTACTCTTGAGCAGGTCCATGTGATAGTAGATAGTAAGCACTGTTGCTGGTTCAGTCCAGAATGAAACGTTGAAAAGATTATATTTTTTGGCAATCGTTGATGCCCATACGTGGAAACTGTCAGCTATTATACACGAAACGGGCGGGTCTGGTTTCGAAAGGATTAGTTTTTCAATGAAGTCATCCACATGAGCTTCGAAAACATGAATAAGACCTTCCACAAACTGGTCTGCTTTGGCCCTCCTTTCAAAACTTAGTGGGAAACCATCACTAATTTTGGCATAACGAATGTCAAGACCGGATTTCTGTGCATGGGAGAAAGGGTTGTCGTCGTCATCTTTAAGTGACTGAGCTCTAGTTATGTGCTGGTGAGTTGATTCTGTGTTGACAAAGGTGATGGTAAAACCTTTTGAAGCAAGCTTCATTGCAAGATGGGTGAATGGGTTTATATGGCCTTGAAGAGGAAGTGGTATCATTACTGCATGCAGCTTTGGGTGTTCTTCTACCCTCATTTTGGTATAGGAGATGGTTGCCTTGTTTGAGAAAGGTAAGTGTTTTATTAATATAGCACCAAAGGAGGTGCAGGCATATAGGAGTTGGTTTCCTTGTATGTTTATATAAGAGCTTGGACGGAGATGGTCGCTTTATATTTTGTGTTAGTGGGAAGTAACAGGTACCCATAGAATTAGTTTAGGCGCGCTTAAACTGGTCTGCACACTATGGTTATTTAAAAAGAAGATTGTGGCTTATGTTCTTTGTTGCAAAAGGCAAAGGGTTGAATATTAATTGTCTAAGTTGGTCTTTGGCTATACCTATAGCTGCATTTATGTGAATTTGGAGCCTCTCCTGGGTTATCTCTTAGAAATTTAAAGATATGAGATGGGCCATTGTGCCACAACCAAGAGGTACTTACATATGTTTATAAGCAAAAAAAACATGTCTTAGCATTCGTTTGTTTGGTATAAACACTGGATGCTAATAAATTTTTTCCATAGATCTGTCGGGCTTTCTAGAAGCTACTTGATGTATGGCCAGCATTCATTGTGCAAGAATGTAGAGAAATTGGACACGTTAGTGGCGGCTAGGTCATCCTTAAAGCTGCATTCATTTTCAATAATTGCACTGCATTGTCTGTGTATTGCATATGTGATGTCCCTTTCTTTCATAATCAAACTTTTGCTCTTTTCGCTTTTGATTGTGTATTGTTGTGAATAATCGGTTAATAAACAGAATGGTCTTGCTACTTTTTCTTTTAATTTTTAGGATGTGTTTGAACTCGATTTTTTTTATTTTGTGCCACACAACTAAATGATATTAGTTGTGCGAGGCCTCTTTTTTGTCTCACAATTTTTTGAACCCAAAATTATGTGAATGTTTACTCGTGATGCAGTTGAATTTATTTCGTGGTTTATAAACAAGCGAGTCGATTTGATCCCAAAATGATAATAAATTAAATAAAATGCAAGACTTAGCGTTGAAATCGAGATAAAACAGTAGATAGCATGGTTCCAGGAGCAGGGTTTCTGAAGGCAGCAATATGAATCTTAATAAGCAAGAAATAAAATGTTGCTACCATTGAATAATGTGTAATGGCATGCTACGAATGCCATATTCTTTGTAACGAACTATGTAATTAATACTACAGAATATTCTTCATTGAGTGCTATCAGGTGGCAGACATTCATTTGTACTCATGAGCAACATTCCCTTTGGGGGCTTCTCGGTGCCAACCGAAACTGCTGCCCCCGATCTTGATTTCCACCTGTGTCGCTTTTCATCTGTCTCCGGTTCCACGTGTTGCTCTATTATATGAGTATTTAATACGAACTAATTTTACCTTAGACAGTGGACCCAAAAGTGTAAGATATTGGTCTACAAATTTGTGAGATAAAAAAATATCAGTTGTGTGAGGCACACCATAAAACTTTTCGTTTGAACTCCGAATCAATATGTCAATCCGGTAATTTTTTTTGGTTTTCCTAAGCTTTTTATTATTTTCTTTTAGTTTCTAAAAAAAATGATGAAACTCTAAAGTGGAATTTTGAGATAAATTTTCTTAATGTAATTTTGGGTTTACTTCATTCCCTTTTAACACTTTCAATCATTATATTGTTGTACTTGTGGACTATTTCATTTGGAGATGATCAAACCATTTCGGATAACATTTTCTTATTTTATCTTATCTGTGTGCTTCTAGCGCCCTATGTTTGAGTTTGACGCGGTTATTTCTCTATCTTACTCTATATAATCATATATCCATCTCAACATTCAAATTTCCATCGCATTCATTTTCGTGGATATGTTGGATCTAACCGTTATTTTCTAGAGTACGTTTTCATAGTTTCATTTGAAAATAAAGGGGATTTTCACATTCCTATACACTATTTGAAACCTTATTACCCGCCCTACTCAAGTTTCAATTTAATTACATGGTCATATACAATTTACCAATTATATACAAATAAG